TTCCTATTGGCTCAGTATACATCAAATACCATCATTACTATTACCTGCCTCACTGCTCATGTCTGCAGAGCCAAGAACTGAGTGAGTATGTGAACTGAACTCTCCTCTCCCACCAGGGGTCAGGGTTGAGGCACTTTTTCAGAAGGATGATACAGGGCACTTATTCAGCAGCCCCCTGTAATGTACCTGTTGTATTTTATCCACAAATGGATTACTGGGTAGGATTTTCAAAAGCACCTAAGGGAATTAGGCACCCAACACCACTGGCTTTCAATGGAAGTGGAGCACCTAACCTAAAGTTTCTAATTCTTATAAATTATCTGCTAGAAGCAAACTGCCAAAAAGCTGTTTAAAAATTGATCTACCTTGACAGTGGTCTGCTGTTCAGCCATATGTTATATCTGAAAATTACCACTACAACAACTGAAAATATACTATTGTAGTGGAGTGACTTGGTGATAGTCTCATCATTAGTCACAAAGATTAAAAAAATAATATTTTCACTGATGGCAACACTTTGTTTGGAGGAACTGGGGGAAATCATATGGATGGCCTCTGAAAATAAGAACCTGAATAGAAGAAAACTGTCAAATTAAATACATATTTAGAACTATGTTAAAAAGGACAAACAGAAGGCCAGCCTGAGGTAAATGTGAGTGGGAGCAAAAGAAGGAGAAACTATGATGAAAAGAGCTACAGTATAGAGCAAATACATCTTAATTACTACCAATAAAAACAAACTTGATATATATCAGAGAGGTACAGGACTCAAGCACAAGGAACTCCTGAGTTGTGATCCTAACTCTGACACATTCCCTCACCATACCTTGAAAACTCAGGTACAAGGACATTGTCAGGTTAAGATCCCATTCTCTTATATTAGGTCAAGACACATTTCCTTACTTAAGTTACTATGAATGCCTTTGTTTATTAAACCTGAAGAAACTGTAAGTCTCCTTTATTTATGCTGCTTGTTTACAGTTTGGATTTTTCACAGCTTTGAGAGAGAAAGCAGGCTTGTCAGTTTCACTTTTGTTTATGGCCAGTTTCCAGTCAGTTTTTGGTACCTGTTCTCAAGCAATAGCACATTGCTGCTTTGGTTGGGTTGAAGACATGTCAGGGTAAAGTTGTGTCCTCTCCATTGTTCTCAGGCCCCACTAAGTTCCCCCTCAATTTAGACCTCCAGAGCCAATGCAGCAACAGGAGAGCAAGCTGCATTCTATTTTGCCTCATGCATCATCAGCAAAACTGTCAGCTAAACTCAAATTGCGAAACATTTATGATGCAAGAGGCAGACACCACACAGCTTGATTTTTCCAGATCCCAGGCTGAATTTTTAGTGATGGCAGCTGGGGAGTTAGGGGAGAGGGAGAATATTTCTGACGTGTAATTGAGACAACTTGATCTGAAAATCGTTGAGAGAGCAAGAGAGAGAATAAATATGGAATCCCACAGTGTTGTTTTTACAGTCACTGTCTGACTATAACCACATTTTGACTTTGAACATTTATCAGTATTTGGCACATGTTAAAAATTAACCACTCCCTGAAACCATGCATGATTGATCAGTTATACAACTCATGTTTTTCAGAGCTCAGTTTAGGAGATGAATTATTCCAGGCCCTTTCGATTTCTTAACCCGTAGCACTGGGAATGCTATGATTTGGTTTTATCGCAGTTTTCTCCAAAGGTCAGAACTCCTGTTGTACTCAGCTGTCAAAAGTAACACACAGCAGCACATCCTAGGCAATTCTCCAGATGACACTGACCTTTTGCAGTAAAAAGCCTGTGCAATACAGGTGCTTTCTTTTCGAAGAAAGAGACTGCTCACTGACTTTGGGATTAAAAGAAGAAATGAGAACCTTCGTAACGCGCCCATGATGCGAAGGTTTACAGCTTGGCATTCATTGGGAAAATATGCTAGCCAACTAAGTTCACTGCAATACTGCAATTACTTCTAATTAGTAACACCAACAGCAGTCTACCTTGTATTCCAATTTGAGAGTCAAAACATCAGCAAATAAGATCCACTGTGCACATGATTCAAATACCGCAAGACAGTGAACTAGATTCACTGCTGGTGTGACTCCTGAATCTGCAAACAGCTTCAGTGCCTCTGCTGCTGCTGTTCAGCAGCACAGTTAAAATGACACCAATCTGGGCAGTTTTACCCTGTGGACAGCAGTAAATTTACAGCGGGAAGAGGCTGGAAGGACAAGAGTAGAACACACGCACACACAATCACTCTTACAACAGCCAAGAAGCTATGGACACACCCAACTGTCAACAGGCTCTGAGGTGGGGTGAGGAAGGAAACAAATCTAACTGCCAGCAGCGAGAGCGGCCTGAAAGATGAGCAGATTTCAATGTATCAGATCATGATTAAAAAAAGCTGACATAGAAGATGGAGCCTCTGAGCAGAGTTCCAGGAACAGAACCTGGTAGGCCTTTCACCCCTTCCTTCAACTGCTAGGAAAGGGAAGCTCCTGGATTTGATCGAGACATCATCTCTGGTCCTTGATGATGTCCCAATTCTCTGTCTCATCTTTCACGTGGCCTCTGGCTCACCAGTGTCCACAATTTTTTTCAAGCCCTGTTCATACCCATCTCCTCTGTGTTCTTACAGTGCATTCTCCAGAAGGAACTAGGAAAAGAAAAAGACTTGAACAACCAGAACAATCTGGAGCAGATTTTAGCAAATTGCGTAGCTTGAAATTCTGGGAGAAAGAAAGGGGACTGGGACATCACCAAGGATCAGGTGTCTCAGTCAAATCCAGGGCCCTGTAGTTAACATATACATCTGAATGTGCAGTAATTTGATCGTTCATCCCTGCAGAATGCCACTGCTATCACCACTCACCCATACCCCACACGTTTCCACAAAATGTACAAATGAAAGGTATTTTGACAATCTAAATCCTGTGTCATGATTTTGCTGGTTTCCTCTTTACCATTTATTACCCTTTCTGCTCTCTCCCTTTTATATATAATTTTTTATCTTCTCCCCTCTTCATTTCCTTCCTTGTGTCTCTTCTACAAGTCTTAACAAGTCGAGTACAATATCCCCTTCCTGTTTTGTATAGTCACTTTTGTCTTCCAGCTCCATTTTTGGACAGAGGAGAAAAAAATGAGTTCAAGCACTTTTCATGATTAAGTACCCTGCTGTTCAAAGTATCCTTGGGCATGAAACTTGTATCTATGAATTCTGACCCTCTGAAAAACCTAACTTTGCCATCACGCACTAATTATGAATGCATTCTAAGCACTCAGGCCTGAATATGTTCAGGTTGCTAAATATTAAATCCTGTATTAAAAATTAAACACAGATAAATGATCTAGTGCCACATTTAATTATTTTAAAAACAAAACTGCTGCTAGCTTCGCATGTGTGCATCATATTGTCCTAGTGTACTTTGGCACTGGAAGCCCACAAGATATCAAAATATACAAGAATCCTTACCTTGAAGTGTATGAGAGAGCAAGATGCTGGTATATTCTGATACCCTGCTGGCTAACAACAGTGCAGCAGACAGGCAGAGGGAAAGGATGGTTCAAACATGCCTGGGATCATAAAGAAACCTAGCACCCCTGGGTGTGTTGTGTCTGACTGCCTGGCAGAGAAGTTGGAATTTTACCAGTACTGCAGCCTTTGTTTTGAGGACAGCACTCTCAGAACCAAAAGGAGAGCTTAAAAAAAAAAAAGTATATTTTTAAAAGATAGGTTGCATCAAGGGCTTGTCAACCTTGATATTATCCCATTATCCTTTCATTTTCCTCTCTGTTCAACTTGGGGCCGTGTAAGTACATGCTAAATGCCTACAGCTTTACTAAGGAACAAAACCAGGAAACTAATACTCTGCATCATTAAATCTGTGCGTTTTATTTATTGGCATTTTTGATCTACTAAGATTTGCTCCAAGTTTATCAGTCATGGCAAAAGACAGGATACATACAATCTAATATTACATTGATTCTATAGCTCTTGGTTAACTAGGTCACAGATTACACTGCAATGTTTGCAAGGCAGCCAGGCTTTATGCACAAACTGTAGGCATTAAGCCAAATTCTACTCTCAGTTACACCCGAGTAACCCCGCTGATATCACCAAGACTGTGTGGGGCTAAATCAAGGCCAGAATTTGGTCCTTTGTTTCCAGGTAAAAAGTCCTGAATCCCTGCTTCCCCAAGCTAGATGTCAGAGTGATTTAGAGATGCAAAGGACTTAGAAATCTGCGTGAGAGAAAGACCTAGTAGGTCACATCCAGTCCATCCCCGTAGGCTAGTGTAAGTTTGATAATTTTCGAATGCTTTATCCACTCCACGTTTTAAATATCTTAAGTGACCAGGTTTCCACTATTTCCTGGGGCAGGGAGGGGGGTGGGGGAGACTATTCCACAATGTTAAACACCCCACGGTTAGGAAGTTTTTCCAAATAGCCAACCTTTGTATAATCTCATCTCATTGCTCCTAGTCACACCTACCCGAACACATTTCCTCTGTTGAGTGTGTAGAAATGCAGAGGCATGTGCCTTGTGTCACATTTTAAGTACACATGCCTTTTTCAGCATGGTAAAAAGACACCCCCCACTGAAAAGGGCACCCTGGGTCTGCACTAACCTTAGAGATTGGGAGAGCCGCACAGAGGTGCCAAGGATAGGGATGGAAAAGCCAGGAGACCTGGGTGATAAACGGAGGATACAGGGAGGCTAGGGACTAGGATAACACAAACAATCAGAGAGAAGAGACAGGGACGCTTGCAGAGGGCTGGCGGAATAACCCAGGAGAGACACGGAAGGGGTCAATGAGGGGACACGAGGGTGGAAGAGGGCTCCCTAGGGAAACGCAGCGTGCCAGGGTAGGAGAAATGGGGGCTCCCGGGAGGGATGAAGGATAGCTGAGGAAGCCGGGAGGGATGAGGGGGTGACCAGTGATGGAGAATGGCAGGAGGGGAAGGGAGCCGAACAAGCACGAAGAGCTGAGGAGCAGCCGCGGAGCCTTTACCTCTCTGATCTTCAGCCTGCGGGCGCGGGTCTCGGGCTCCTCGCCGCCGCCTCTGCCCAGCACCGGGTGGCGAAGGCTGCGGCGGAATGTCTCGTAGTCGAAGCCGAACGGGGCTCGGGTCTGGCGGGGGGCGGCAGGCGCCGAGTCCGTCCCCGCCTCGGCGCCCCCTGCCCCGGGCTGCACCTGCTGCGGGCTGCCCCCGGCGGAGGCGGCGGTGTGGGCCGGGGGGGCGCCCAGGCGGGCCGCGGCGCGGAGCTTGTCCCGGAGGCGGCGCGGGGCGGCGGGGCTGGCATGGCGGGGCTCGGCGGCGGCCGGGGGGCTGCGGGGCAGGTCGGGGTCCCCGGCGGCGGCGGCGGCGCGGCGGGGCAGGAAGAGGCGCTTGAAGCGGGAGGAGTCGGGCAGCAGGAAGAGGGCCCCGAAGCAGAGGGTGAGCAGGCCCGAGAGGAAGAGCAGAAAGAGGAACTTCTGCGGCAGCCGCAGCCCCAGGGCCGCCGGCCAGCCCGGCATCCCCGGCAGCTTCCGCAGCAGCAGCATGGGCACGGCCGGGGAGGGCGCCCCGGGCACCGGCTCACGGGGCGCTGAGTGGGGGGGCGAGCACCGGCTCGGGCGGGAGGCTGCTGTGGAGCCGGGAGGCGCCGGAGGGTCCGGCAGAGACAGCAGAGGAGCCCCGGGGTCCAGCAGAGTCAGTGCGGAGCGCTGGACGCTTGCCCCTGCGCCGCCCGGGGGCTCCCCACTTCTCCCGGGCCGGCAGCGAGAGGGGCTGACACGTGGAGCAGACTGGGCAGAGGGGAGCTGCTCAGGGACGGAGCTTCACACGCCCACCGCTTGGGCTCTGTCGCCGCCGCCGGGCTCCCGCGGCTGGGGACGGTGCCTGGAGGCGAGCGGAGCTGGCAGGCTGGGCTGGGATGCTCGGCTGCGGCCGCCCCCTTCCCTTCCCCGCGCACAGGCGTCTGCAGGGCGCTGGGCAGCGACTCAGAGTCCCCCGGTCTGGCATGAAGCTGCCGGCAAATCCATCATCCCGCCGGGCCGCTGCGGAGCGCGGGGATGGGGTGAGCTGCCGCGCCGCTCTCTGCCGCTATCCCAGTCCGGCGGCCGGTTTCGGGCGGGCTCCGGGACTAGACAGGAGGCGTCCGGAGCGCTGCGATCGCTGCTCGGTCGAAGAAGGGGGATTCACGCTGCAGCATTTCCGCAGCAGGGGATCCGCGGCTCGTCCAACGCCAGGAAAGGCTGTTGCATGCAGGACGCTCCTCGCCTTTGTCCCAGAGCGCGTCTGCAGCCGCCCTCCCCCGCTGGCAGCCGCTTCAGGTCTCCCCCCCGCCCATTAAGTTCCCGTCCCCTCTTTGCGGACTTGCCCCCAGTTCTCTGCGTTGTGAGCAGCTCCCTGGCGCGGCACCACCGCCCTGGAGCCTCGAGCTTTCACATCCTCTCGGGCGCCTCTGGTAGCCGGAAAGCCCCCTTCACGGTGGGGCGTGAAGGCTCCGCAGCCCGAGGAGCCAGGGAGAGAAAAGCCAGGAAGAACAGTCCCCAGGAGCCAGCAAACAAGGAGGGGCTGCTCCCCGCCTAAGCAGGAATTGCCTTTTGCTCACTCAGCTCTGGCGACGGGCTCCAGGAGGCTGCGGACCGTCCAGCCCACACAAAGTCTTTCCTCACAATAAGTTTCCTCGCGAAACCAGAGCTCCTGCTCCTTCTACAACCATCCTAGTTAATTCCCACTTGCTGGTAAATTTCATCCGCGGTGCGTCCCGTCCCCGTCCCCCCCAGCCCGCTTCCAGTCGTTTTTCCTTTTTTTGCCCTGGAGAGAAGAGAGATGCACAACTTTCAGACAGGTGCAAAGCAAGCTCTCGTTAAAACAGCAGCCCGGAGACGAGACCTGTCTCCACGGCCATGAAATGCAATTCCCCACGTACAATTCGCTGGGGGCAATTCAGTGCAGCGCTCCCGACCCCACCTCCCCAAGCCCGCTCAACGACCCCGGGCCCGGGGGTCCTCAAACGTCGGAGACCTCGCAGCCTCGTCTCACTGTTCCCTGGGCCTAGGGGAGCTCAGGGTGTTTACACCCTTTGCTGCTCCCCATGCACTTCAGCGCCCGTTCAATGAAGAGGAGACAGGGCTGCTGGTCGCTAAATTCTCCGGGGGGGCAGCCCTCTGCACCCCCGCTTCTCTGCCCGTCAAACAGCCAGCGGTTCCGTGCAATTGCATTTTATCAGCCTAACGCAACAGCCCCCCCGCTGCCAGCCTGCGCCGCTCCCCCCACGACACACCGAGCGCAGCCGCCGCCGCCGCCGCTCTCACTGCGACAGCTCTCCTCTTGGCCCCGCCCCCCCGCAGGCCGCGCCCCCTCGACGGACCACGCCCCGCAGACCCTCCTCTCGCGGGCCATATGGCCCCTTGCCTCAACGGTCGCCGCCTGCCCAACCGTCACTACAGGAGGGGGAGGAGGTGTCATGAGCCAATCGCAGCCAAACGTTATACTCACGGCAACGACTGGCTCCGCCCCGACCTCCTCCCTCACTTGCCATTGGCTCATTGGCTGAGTCTGCCCTGTCTATTGGCTACTCTATGCATCAGGCAGGCGGGTAGCACCGCCCAGTTGTTTACCACCGAGCCCGGCTCGAGCTGGGGGAGGGGCTGTTGCCCCAGCCAGCATTCCATTGGCCGTTAAAGTGCCTCAGCTCCATTGTGATTGGCTGAGAAGCCTCAGCTACTTTAAATGGAGTGAGCTGAGGGAATTTAAAGGGTGAGGGCCCAAGCCAGGTGCCCCAGTGTCCATGCAATGTTCTAGCCTGCCCCCACCACCTCAAGGCATGGCAGTACCCAGCATGCAATACACCATTCCCCTTGAGTCCCTCAAACCATGCAACACTGGACTCATGCCAATGGAATGCCCAGCTCCCCACATGCAATGCTCCGTCCTCCCCATTGCACCCCAAGGTCCAGCACCTCCCAGCATGCAACATTCCACCCCATCGTAAGGGCCCTGAGGGGAGAGTATCTTCCAGCATGTAATACTCCATCCCCCCACAAGCACAGTAGGTCCCAGCATGCCGTGTTCTATCCGTCCCGCTCCCAAGCACCACATGGGGATAGCATCTCCCATCATGCAACATTCCACCCTATGTCATGGGGATGGTCCTTGGCCACATGCACAGCTCCATGCTGCCCTGAGTGTGCCTTAAGGGAAAGGCGTGTTTCAAACTGTAACACTTCCTCTCTGCCCAGTCTCTGTCTCACCTTGAGCTCCCAGCACACATTGCTTCATTTGATTCTGAATGCCTAGGGGATGGACCTTCCAAGCATTCAGTGCTTCATCCAACTCAAAGTGCCCCCAGGGGGTGGCAGCTTCTACCATGCAACATTCTGGTCTGAGGAGCTTCTACGGAAATAAGAAGTCTCTGCATTGCTCTGTTCTACGTGGGTCCCTAACATCATACGTTATTATGAGCTGACCTGCCTCAATGGAGCCTAGGAATGGCACTAGGGTGACCAGATGTCCCAATTTTATAGGGACAGTCCTGATATTTGGGGCTTTTTCTTATATAGGTGCCAATTATCCCCCAGCCCCGTCCTGATTTTTCACACTTACTGTCTGGTTGCCCAAAATGGCGCAACATTCAATGTTTTTAATCATGATCCAAAGCTGCCTGCAGAGATGGAATGGAGAGGGAGCTGTCCAGCTTTGGACTCCTCATCTTTCAAAGATAGCAAAAAAAAAAATACAAATTTGCGCTTTTATATATTTCTATACTCTGCAATATACTTTGGGACAAGGGAATTCCCACTCTGGATCACAGCAATGGGCTATCTAATCCAATATTTTGTTTATGACAATAGACAGTACTAGCTACTTCACAAAAATATGCAAGAAACTCTGCCATGGAAAGTTATGGAATAAGCTGCCTGTAGAGAAAGCTTCTTCCTAATCTCCATCATATGGTATTGGTTTATACCTTGAAGAACAGGACCTTATATCCCTTCCAAACACTTGGTGTTTTTTAAAAAAAAGTATTAACCCCTTTTTATCTTCAAAGGACCATGCAAACATTAATGCATTCTCTCTACACCTTGTTGAGATAGGTAGATATTACTGTTATGCTGGGGATTGGGTTAAACCTCATAGAAGCTGGTTGGTGTACCCATCACTTTTCATTCGGAACAAACATAAGAAATAATCAAGCTCCTTCACAGATTATATCCCTGAAACAATAGAAGTCACTATCCAAAACACAGGCCATGCACAGATGGGCAGCTACTGATCTATTTGGGGCATGGGGTAATGTTTATTTTGGAGCTCTGTGTGAGCGAGCAAGAAGTAGAGAAACACCATGGGAGAGGACAGAGAAGGCATCAACGAAGCACCAAACACAGCCACAGAAGGACTGGCAGTGTGGCTCTGAGAAAAAAAACATAAGAGAGAAAGAGCTTTTGGGCTAAGTGCTGTCTGGAAGGGGCTTAGAACTGTGGACAAAGAAACTTGACTCCTACTGTGTTCAAAATCCTGTTTATCTTATACATTCTTGGTAAATAAACAAGACTGCATCAAAGAAATACCTGACTCTGTGATCAATTTCTTCCCCCTAACAGAAACAACCTGCAAGACCCTGAATTTTGGCTAACCACTTGAGTCAAAAAGGGTAACATTATTATTCCTATGTAGGTGGGGAAAATGAGACAGAGAGGTGAAGTGGGGCATCCCTGGGATTAGGGCTCAGGAGAACCTAGCTCCCAGTCACATGCTCAAGCCACTTGGCCATTCTGCTTTATCCCTCACTACATCTACCTGGTGGCTGCAATCCTGCTCCTAACCAGCATTTCACCTAGTTCAAAAACAGAAGCCATGTTTTACACCAGTGGCGTCCATTCTATGATCCTCAGTGGTGACCGTATTAAGAAGAAAATGTGCATTTTATTATTAATTTAAAATGTGTTCGCTGAGCTGTAGCCCCAGGAATACCTGATTCAGCCCTATCACTCCACAGAAGAGATAGGGACACCAGTTCCCCAATTGCCTTCCACTGTTTCCCCTGAAGTTTCAGGGGCAGCTCTGGTGTGAGCCAAGTGCATTCTGAGCAGCTGCTCCTCCTTCCCTGCTGCAGCTGGCTTCTGGCTGCATGGCAGGGGGGAGAGAACAGTTCGGGCAGCTCTATTGCCTGCTTTTCCACCAAGGTGTGGGAGCCCCAGAGAGAGCAGAAAAGGAATTCAACAGGCTCTGCCTGTGGAGGATAATCCAGGAGCAGGAAAAAGAAGAGGCTGAGATCCAGCTCCTTCATTTTGTGCTCCAGCCCAGCCTGGGCACTGATCTAGAGTTGCTAGTTGGCAACAGTCCCCGGTGGTCCATGCACCAGCAGGAGAATAGCCAGAGCCCTGTGTACTCCAGCCACACCTCCTCCATGCACTAACCACCCACCCCAGGTTGGGAGGTGTAGCTGGCTCCCCCAAGATCATTCCCAAGAAGGGACTTGTGGATGGTTTCCCCTCCTTTTCTTGCAGCCTGAAAGCTGCAAAGGGAATGAAACAGCAGAAAGTGCCCTAATGTAGCAATTGTGGCCCATTGGCCTTTTTTTGTCTGCCCCTTCAGCTGAAAAAGTTGGACACCTTTGCTTGATGATTTGGGAACATCAGAAAAGGCAACAAAACACAACACAAACCTGATGTGACATATTTAGTTCTCCATTTTATACAACAATAACACCAGAGAAGTTGAAAAGTTCTTCTTTTTTTAAATTAGGTTAAATTAAGATATGCTGCTTTGTGTTTTTGTTTTTCCAGACAGAGCACTGCCTTCAAGGTGTTTAATTACATTTCTAAAACAATTTAGCACATGTACGAACGCAGAGAACCCAGCCTCTGTACAGAGCCATAATTCAATCAAGGCACAGCCAGCCTAAACTTGAGAAATTGGCATTGAAGGAGTTATAAGGCAGAAAATTATTGTAAAGATGGGGTCCAGCTAGATTATAATTTTTATTTTTATCAGGACTGGAAGTAATAATTTAAAGAAAATGACTCTTTTATGGCCATAAGAAAAATAGAATTTAATATCTACAGTTATAGAAGGAAAACTAGAGTGCGATGGATAGTACTCACGGCAAAACAGTTTGGCACGATAATTAAGTTTATTTGTACAGCCTCCAGCCTATCTTTTAAAGAAGACTGAATTTTTCTCTCACTCTAGAAAGCACTTCCCTCTTAGCTGCAGGAGCAGTTAGGATACATTTCTTGTGCTGGACTATCATTCCGGTTTGCAGACAATAAGTCCTCTCTCTGTTTTAGAACTCCTAAAAACCTATGATTTCTAGACACAACAGCAAGAAGAGGCTATAGAAGGCAGATGGAATAAAGGAGTTGTAATGCTGTCAGACAATTTTAGTTGTATTGTTGTTGGTATTGTCAAAACAATCCTGTTTCAATTGGAAGGAAGGGATACTAGATTTAAGCATATACTTAAAACTCTCTGTAAACCAGACACCTAGTGTGCAGATATTAATTGCAATGTAGAGGTAACAACAACAAAGAACTGGAAGTAATAATTTAAAGAAAATGACTCTTTTATGGCCATAAGAAAAATATAATTTAATATCTACAGTTATAGAAGGAAAACTAGAGTGCGATGGATAGTACTCACGGCAAAACAGTTTGGCACGATAATTAAGTTTATTTGTACAGCCTCCAGCCTATCTTTTAAAGAAGACTGAATTTTTCTCTCACTCTAGAAAGCACTTCCCTCTTAGCTGCAGGAGCAGTTAGGATACATTTCTTGTGCTGGACTATCATTCCGGTTTGCAGACAATAAGTCCTCTCTCTGTTTTAGAACTCCTAAAAACCTATGATTTCTAGACACAACAGCAAGACACAACAGTAACAACAACAAAGAACAGGCAGAAATGCCACTTTAAAAGAAATCCTTTGCCTCCAAAAGGACAGTCCATGGCTGACAGAAAGAGGTGCCATTTTTCAGTGCAGTGTTAAAAGATTTCTGTCTCTTTATGGTGGCGTTTAGCCTACTTCATTGTGGTTCAGCTTTTGGGGCCTGATCTTCTGAGATGCTGAGTGCCTGCTGGGAATTATGGGCTCATACTGTTCTCCAGCTTCTATGCTCTTCCCAGTTCATGTTCCCTTTCTCCTGTAGCCCAGCCACTGCAGAGGGGACCATACCCATTTACCTGTCTTCTCCTTCATGAAGCTCCAATGTGTCTTTTTCTTCCCACACAATGTAGAAAGGCTATATTTGTGTAGAGGCCTAGATGAGGCATATAGACCTTCCAGGCCAGCCCACAGACACCTCAGACAGAGTCCATAATTTGATCTGGTTGGGAATTGGATAAAGAAATCAACACATTTAGACAGACTGGTGTATATGCAAACCATAGCCAAAGCTTTCCACAATACTGAGATCCAGACACCCTGGGAAGGAGAAAGATCACTCTGTTTCGCTAGAAAGACAAGCCCTGAAAGCTTATAGTCACTAAGAGAGTAGAAGGCACCTGGATGGATATTTGATGCATTGACTTTGGCAATGGGGGATACATAGTCATGCCAACAAAGTTATTGAAATACAGTTGGCATTTAGAGCCCTGAGGCAGCTTCCCAACCAAAGAACTGGCCCTTACAACAAATATACTGGACATTCCTTTGGTTCGTATGTAGTTATATAACTGTTATAACTTGGTATTGTCTCTATGGCTCTTTACATTCCTACGGCATTTTGCCAGTCATGAGGAGCCATGAGATAGTATTTTATTAAAGAATATTACAGAGTGAGTCACTGTGTTTGCTCTCCTCCCATAGGTACCTTATATTCATTGTTTCTTTGTGCTTATTCTTAACCTGAAATACAAGCCCTGTAAACTAGGAAATACATGTTTTGCTGTATGTGCAGAGAGGGGAAAACCAATGGGCTAGATCCTCAGTTGATGTAAATCAGTGCATCTTCATTGCTGAGGATCTTGCCCAGTGGGTCTAAAAGCTTGACAACTCACAGAACAGAAAGCAGCATATCTGAGACCAGAACCTGTGAATTAAGGAGTATCTGTGACCCTAAGAGTCCCTTAATGCCCACTGCAGAGGACGCCCTGTACTGTAACTCATATTAGGACTGACACACTCACTAATCCCAAGGTTCTATTATCATAATATGTATCCAAAAGGTATCATGTGCGGTATATATAAACTGGTAGCACACTGGTCAGGAATATCATTGTGTGATGGATATATGGATTGTGTATAAAGAATTATATATATGTGCTGCGAATATGTTCTTAAAATGTGTTTTGGAGGCAGTGAAAAATTCAAGTCTGCCCTAGAAAAGGATTGTGGCTTTACCTGGATAACTGACTTGAATACAGGTGGAAGGCAATGAAAGTACATTTACATATAAGGTAAATAAAGCAGTCACGTTAACAACTGAGCACACTGGGGGACAGAATCCGCACCCACAGGAATTCTTCCCGACTCCTGAGGCAAAGACAATGGACTTTGAGGAAATGTAAGGGGAGCAAAAAGACATTCTAGTTATCCATCACCTGTGGAACAAAGGGTTTGGCACCTTCTGATTCTGTGAACATTGGACCCTTTAACCTGGAGGGCTAGAGATGCTGAGAACCTGATGTAAGTGAGAAAACTGCTTAGGCAAAGTTCATAACTTGCTAAAATTACTTTTTAGTCACTAGAAAGCATAGAAAGTTCATAACTTGCTAAAACGAAGTTTTAGTCACTAGAAAGCACCTTGTTTTGTTTGTAACAAGGCCTGTTTCATTTTCTCGTGCTTAGTATCACTTACATCTCTGTTCTTTATTAATAAATGTATTCTTAGTTTTACTATAAACCACCTTAGTGCTCTTATATTGAAGTATAGAGTGAGTCCCCAAATAACCTGACACACTGGTGTACATGCCGTCTCTTTGGAGGCAGCTAATTTAATAATTTCTGTGAGTGTCACAGTGAGAGGGACTGGACACTACAGAGAGACATCTCTGGAGAACTTGTGAACTGGGGTTCACTGATTGTTACCTGCAAGGCAAGGTTTAGACTGGCAAAGTCTCAAGGAGTTTGCTGGTAAAGTGGACAGATGGGTGTGGCAGGGAGCTCAATCTTGCTAAGGCAGAGAGGTAACAATGGCTTAAGTTTCTGGGCTGCCCTGAGGAGAGCGTCACAGCACCATCATGAGCTAACATGTCTGCACTCTACCTCTAGTACACAGAAGAGATCCATAGTCTGAATTTAGACTCAAGTCCAGGGATATGCAGTACAAGCCTCACTAAAAATTTAAATTGCCATTTTCTGCTAGCAGAACAGATAGACATTTTCATGATATAAAAGGAAACAAAAAACAAAAACAACCCCTCCCCCTGTCTCTCTCAAGTGGGCTCATAGGAGCTGGAACTAGGGGTGCTGTCGTACCCCCTGGTTTGAAGTGGTTTCCATCATATACAGGGTTTACAGTTTGGTTCAATGGCTCTCAGCACCCCCACTATACAAATTGTTCCAGCATCCCTGAGTTGGCTTATCAATTTCACAAGCAAAAGGAAAAAAAGTCATTCAACAGCTGAGATAAAAATCTGTTCCTCTTCTACAAAATTCTGGTTTTGGAGAAATCAGATAAAGAGCTTTCGTAACAAGAGGAGCCTTGCTTCAATATGATGAAAGACTGTGTCTCAGCAGCTCCAAATTGTCCCTTGCCAGAGGAAATATAAAACAACAATGCAGAAGTTGTGCAAAACCTGGAACATAGCAGGGGAAATTGCATGGAGGAAATAACTGAAATGGCATTACTTCTTTCTCTCCAAGAAATACAGTAGACTGCAAGATTCTTCATCACTAAGGCCAATGTTTTTAGAAGCGACTGGTGGATTTGGATGCTGCACTTTTGGGGCGGTCCCATTTCATACACCCTGCATTTGATTTTTTGGAAGTGCTGAGCACCCACGATTCCAGCTGAAATCAGAGGAAGTGGCAGGTCTCTGTATGGACATGAAAGAGTTTGAGAGGTCTATAAAATCTTGAATGGTACAGAGAAAGTAAGTGTTATTTACCCATTCACATAACATAACACAAGAACCAAGGGTCACCCAGTGAAATTAACAGGCAGCAGAATTAAAACATAAGGAAGTACTTTTTCACACAACACACAGTCAACCCGAGGAACTTGTTGCCAGGGGATGTTGTGAAGGCCAAAAGTCTAACTGAGTTCAAAAAAGAATTTGTTCATGGAGGATAGGTCTATCAATATCTATTAGCCAAGGTAGTCAGGCACGGAACTCCATGCTCTGGGTGACCCTAAACCGCTGACTGCTAGAAGCTGGGACTGAACACTGGGATGGATCATTCCATAATTGCTATGTTCTGTTCATTCCCTCTGAAGCATCTGGCACCAGCCACTGTCAGAAGACAGGATACTGGGCGAGATGGACCATTGGTCTCACCCAGTGTGCCCATTCTTATGTTTCTACATACTTTTCAGCACAGCCAGTCTTGGTTTTTCAGCATGACACGGTAAAATCTGAAAACCTTGGGTCAAATCTGTGTCTTCCTAGTGTTAATGTTAAAATGCCATTTAGGGGGACCGGGATTAGTCTCCCTCTCCTAGGGTGACTAGGCATCCCAATATTATCCAGACCATCCCACTATTAGGGGCTTTGTCCTATATAGGCAACTATTCCCCCTCTCCCCCACCCCCCCCACCCCCAAAAAAGTCCCGATTTTTCATACTTGCTATCTGGTCACCTTCCCTTGTCCCTAAGAAGTTGGTGTTACTAGCTATGTACCTGATTTTAATCTCACAGTGCCATAACTCAGGAGCAAGTCCAATGAAGCCAACTTCAGCCCCTTCTAAGATCCCTTTGTGCCACCTGAGTGGAGTAAAGGAACATTGAACCAGCTCCAAAGGGGGTGTTGAGGGTTGCACTAACCTGGGATGAAAAGCGCTACACACTGTAAATGAGAGATCATCGTCCTCACTGAACTCTCCCCTTTGCAATGCAAAGGGATCCATCTTTCAGAGAAAAAGATGTTTTTTCCCCTTCAATTGCAAAGCTCATTTCCCTTAAATCTTAATGGCTTTGAACTCGACTGCTATGATATATGCCAAAAGAAATCAAGGTACCTTGGGGCAATCAAGAGGGATGACTTAATATTTCCATTCCAGAGTATGTCTTAGGGAAAAAGCAGCACTTCCAAAAAGAGTTAAGTCATTTAAACCCTACATTGCAGTTAAAATAGCAGAGTAGAGTGCTATATACTGACTGTCCTCAGGTGACCACTAAAGCTCTGTTAAAATCATTTGTCAACTTTACCGTAACTTCTGCTGCAGGGCAATGCAGGTCAGCCGGTGCCCTTTGGGCAATTATATTAAGATTAATATACAGTTCCAGAGTATTTCACAGCTCAGCTGATCGCAGCCTCTTTCTTTTAGAGACCTCAAACTGCCAGAGTATCGATTAGAGTAAATGCTTCAGATGTTTTGCATGGATGTTGTAGAGTGAAGTAGGACGAGCACTTGAACCAGAGATTTCCAGTGTAAGCAGAATTCAAAGTTGTTTCAGTGAGGCCAGAAAAGCCTGAGGGGGAAAAAACAGATAAGGGGAGTAGGGCAGATGTTTCGCCAGCTAAATATATTTCTTTTCCCTGCAGAGGAGAGTAAAAGTTGTCAAAGCTCTTTGCTATGTGTTGCTTTGCCAATTGAGGGAATTACTCTTTCCCCTGTACAGACATTAAGCAATACAGTAAAATAGATACACTGTGGAACTCACATTTCCAGAGTGTGAGTTCCTGTATCAGATCATTAGCATCAAGAAGAGACATTACTTAAGATTTAAAATGATCAGGGTGAAGCATAAGCCAAAGCAATACAAGAAAAATAATATCTTTATTTCCATATCTCCACAGGCTGATATGAAAATCCTCTTTTTTTCCTAGTAATAAATAAATAAATAAATAAATACATCTGCATATTCAAAATACAGGGGGTGTTTTTATTTTGTAGTCAACTCTTTTTAGTCTTTGTAGAGGTGTCAGTCCCAATGTGCTGGCCAAATTCCAACTCAGCTAATTATAGTCTGCCAACTGTACTCAAGTCCTTCTATCGTTTCAGGTGGGTATGGGATTTTTCGCTTCCTGTCATGAATAGCGGCAGCATTGCTGCATACTGGTGAACAGCGGCCATGTTTCACCCCAGAGGTGGCTGCACTCCAATGGTGTGCAAAGTAGTTCTTCGGATTATTATATCTAGGGACAAATGCAGACTGGAGTGAGTGGGTGCAAACACTCAGGGATGTCTCTGGGCCACATTCAGTGGCAACACAAATAGGTACACGCATTTAAATAGGTTTAAGTGGGAGAGCTGCACACGCTGCACTGATCTGGCATTCAGTGGCTGGGTAAATAAGTGTACTTTGCTCACCAAGGCAACGTAAGGGAAAAGGGATATAGCAGAAAAAGCAACAGAAAGATGTATAATGAACGACTACCACACACACTTAACTTATACCCCCACAATCTCCAAACTGAACCTTGTTCTAAATCCATTAACCACAAGCAAACAAAGGCCAAAAGCTGCTCTCAGTTACACGGGTGCAAAGCTGGAGTAACTGAAAACAGAATGTGCCGCGGGAGCCTATTCATAAGGTACTCGTAGGCAGAAGCTCAAGCAGTCCAGTGGGGAAGGAGGAAGAACCCTTGGCAGGGCTGGCTGAGGAGGAGTACTGGGCTGGAGGAACAATGTATTGGAGTTGGGGCTAGGCAAAGCGTTGATGGATCACTCCAGGCTCCAGTTACTCTTACTCCACTGTTGTTACACATCCCTATGCACCGTTGTGTCGTTTGCTCTTTACACTGCAGGGTTAAATAACTGTGCTTAGTAACTAGACATAATACACAGAGTCTAGCTACTTACACACACTCCTGCTCTGGAAAAGTTCTCAACAAAGACAGAGTGCCACCAAAGGGCTTACATGCTGGTTTTAACGGGATACTCCCCAATTCCTATACATGGTGTGTACGAACGGTGAGAGTTGGCGACTGGAGTCAGGCGTTTAGGGTTCTAGCTCCCGGGGCTGCCACTGACTCGATACATGACCTTGAGTCCATCATTTGGGGACTGGTCCTGCTTTGAGCAGGGGGTTGGACTAGATGATCTCCTGAGGTCCCTTCCAACGCCGATATTCTATGATTCTACGATTCAACTGCTCTGTGCCTCTGCGAAATGGGGCTAATACGTAGATCTCAAAAGCAAGGTGCTATAAAACAGTAAAACCCTTTTCCCTCGCAGGAATCTCCAGCTGCAACATCACACCAGTACATAAAAAGTCCCATGGAATGCGTAAAGCTTGCATAGCTTGACAGATGTAACCTATTAAACTTCATAGGACATTTCCCTTTCCCATCCCCACCCAAAATTTATAAACAGAATGATGCAGGGGGAAAAAAAACTTCCAAAGATCCCTGCTTAGTCCAAATAATTCCCTTGTTAGAACCCGAATAAAACTGTATAAGGCTGGGGATTTTATATTATATATATATATATTACAGCCAGAACTAGTGGCCAGGCAATTGAGAAGACACACTTAATAGGTCTATGCTTAAAACTGATGGGTGATGGAACACATTTTTAAAACCAGTCATCTACTGGGCTGCATCATTCATGCAGGCTGCACACTGATTAAAGAGGGGTGGAGGCTTTATAACAGAGGCTCAGGCTAGATTGCCAGGCTGTAAAACAGAAAACCTGAACTGAAGCAGATTACAAACATAGAATTATAATCAAAACTGACTAGGCCCCATACACAATGAGAGTTCCATTCAGTCTAGCTAAGAAAAAAAAATAAAGAGAAAAAGCTGCAACGTATTATCCTCCCTGGCTTTCTTTAAAAATCAATGGAGTTCTAGCCAGGACACAAAACACATTGTACATACCTGGCTGCACAGGCTGCTTGAGGCTCTTCACAGGGGCTAGTTAGCACTGAAAGCAGGGTGTCGTTGATCATTTTACTGCCTGTTAGTAGAGGAAAAGCAACCTCACCTACTTCGATCTTTTTTTTTTTTTTTCCAGAGCATGTCCACTCAACAGCCTTTAATCTCAACTCACGTTTCTCCCCACTCCCACCACTTTAACTCTGAAGTCTTCTGTCTTCAGCTTGGACTGCAGAGAGGCTACTTCATTGGTCAGGGCCTTATGCTCGGTCTCCAAGGTCTTCTTGCCATTGTTTAGAGTGGAGATGTCCCGTGACTGCTTGTACTTACTCACCACTTCATCAAAGTGGCGATAGAGGCCCAGTCTCTTGTTCACCAAGGTGAGAACTTGCTCTGTTATGCAGGCCACCTTCATCCTAGCTTCAGCAGCTGGATCCTCGGTGATGGAAAAGTTGAGCCTCACATAGAAGATCACTGTGAAGAACAAGATGTAAAAGGCTCCAACCACAACAGAAGCTCCTGCAGCATCAGGATCTTGGAAGGTTGTTGCTTTGTGTCTGCGTCAATTTGCCAAATGTTTTTCCAGCTATCACTTTGACGTGAGCTCCAGCATCCAAGATAATCCTCAAGGGTTGTGGGACACAGTGACTGAATGTAGGTAGGCTGCACACCATCGATATTCAACACACGTGGTAAAGGACCTCACAGTTTAGCTGTCCACTGCTGCCCTTTCAACAACCTACACCAGTGGTAAGTAGCATCTGCACCTGCAGACTCTAAGGCCTACTCTACACTAAAAATGTAGGTCGACCTAAGCCACATTAAGTCGACCTAATAATGTTTGTTTCTACACTACCGAGTCCCTTCCACCGACTTAAATGGCCTGTAAAGTCGACGTCAGTACTCTACCTCTGTGAGAGGCGTAGCGCTTGATTCGACATCTACGGGTCAACGTGGGGATAGTGTAGACACTGTGTTGTGTAATTCAACTGAATTGGCCTCCAGGAGGTGCCCCACAGTGCTCCACTGTGACCGCTCCAGAGAGCGCTTTCAATTCCACAGCACGTCAGCCAGGTACACAGGAAACAGCCACTCCCCTGTTAAAGCCCCAGGAACTTTTGAATGTTAATTTCCTGTTTGATCAGCTTGGAGTACTCGCCAGTACAGCTGATCACGGAGACTCAAGGCCACAAATGTGCTCCAGCATGAAGTACACAGGAGGTGGTGGATGTTACTGCAGTGCAGAGAGAGAAGTCTGTCCAGGCAGAGCTCCGATCCAGCAGGAGAAATGCTGACATCTATCCCAGGATGGCGCGGAGCATGGGGGAGAAGGGCTACAGCAGGGACACGCAGCAGTGCCGTATGAAAATAAAGGAGCTTCGGCAAGCGTACCAGAAGACAAAGGAGCTGAACGGTCTGCCCCAGAGACATGCCGCTTTTATGAGGCGCTGCAGGCGATTCTCTGCGGTGATCCCACCACTACCCCAAAACGCTCCTTGGATACCTCCCCGGAGCCCCGGGCGACCTGGAGCAACAGTGAGGAGGACATTGTTGATGATGAGGAGGAGGAGAATGTGAGGCAGGCAAGCGGAGGATCCGTTCTCCCCGACAGCCAAGAACGGTTTCCAAGCCTGGAGCCCATCCCTTCACAGGGCTAGCTGGCGGCGGAGGGTGATGCCAGGGAAAGCACCTCTGTTGAGTACACCTTTCCAATCAAACCTTAGGGCATGGGCGGCGAGTATCGTAGGCAGGGGGAGGCTGTGCCTCCCCAAACACCCTAGCGTGGCCCCGCCCATGCTCTGCCCCCAGGCCAGGCCTCCTCCTCCTGCAGTTTCCTGCCAGTGCTCTGCCCTGGCTTAGGCCGGCCGCGCTGGTGCTGCGTTGCCCGCCTGGCGCTCGGACTGCGCCACCGGGAGCACCGGAGCGGGGGGCTCTGCAGCCACACCTCCCGGTGCTCTAGGGCTGGCCGCCTGGCCCATAAATTGCTGGGAGCACTGCAGCCATGCTGCTCCGCCGCCTGGGGGCTGGGGGCGCTGCTGAGACCTTGCCCCCCCCCGGCATGGGGGGCCATGGTGGGGGTGCTGGGCTCTTGCAGGGGAGGGGAGCAGACGGGAAGGGCGGGGCCTCAGGCAGAAGGGGAGGGGCCAGGGGCTAGCCTCCCCCAGTGGCTGGGTCACCGGCTGCCCGTGTCTTAGGGGTTACATGCTATTATTTTTTTATGTTTAATCTGGGTGCAGTGGGTATCGGTGGCCACTCCGGCTACGCAGAGGGTGCTCGCCGAAAAAGACGGTTTATGTGCACGGGGATGGCCCAGGAATCCTCCATGGAGATCTCTAGGAAGCTTTCATGGATGTACACTCTGCAATCCTTTGCACAAGGTTTCTGGGAAGGGCTGCCTTATTTTGTCCAGCACTTAAGACGCTTTCCCATGCCACTCCAGTATTAACACAGCTGGTATCATGGTAGCACACAGCACTGCAGCAGAAGGACCAGGTGTGTACCCAGATGCTTGCAGCATCTGCTCTCTTGCTGCCTCTGTTACCCTTGGGAGAGTGATATTGCATGTGGTTACCTCAGGGAAACGGGGGGATTTTCAATGCTAGCCCTTAAACCTCAAAACAATTCAACAAGTAATCCGCCCCCTGTTTGG